TATCTTACAAAATAATCAGGTATAATTGCAGGATAGCAACTAAGCATAATCGAGGTACTTTCTTCTCCTAGGCATAATCCCACAACACCCTGTGAGTCGGGCAAAACTTCAGCTCCCAACTACAACAGGGCATACTCATTTTAAATGAAACTAAACAAAAAATAGAGGGTGAATAAAACATGATGAAAACACAATTTAGGTAGAACACAACTATAAGAGTGAGCATTTTGAATTTCATGCAAATCAGCATGTAATAAGCACAACCTATCTGATTGGCAAACTAAGACGTTTAAGCCACCCACCTCGCTATGTATTTGAAAAACTAGAGGTCCATCACGAAGTTCGAGAATTGGTATCAAATGCTTGATAGCATCTGTGCGTTGAAGTGTCTCTAGACAATTAGGATCACCAGACAAATGATTAATGCACCTAAGAATCTGCAGAAAAAGAGATATCGTTCCAGAGCAGGAACAGAAAACATAAACAAATCAGTCACCTGAAAAATTAGCTAGCATAAACAATTTGTAAAAGGCTTCAAGCTTTACCTTCAGAAGAATAGGAGATTCTATCTTATTGAACATCTGGAACAGCCGTGCGAGAAGGCTTTGGCTAGACATGAGAGATTTTACAACAGTGTCTGCTTGTGCAAACTCCAAAAGAAGATCTGCCACTTTCTCAAGATACTCGCGTGCAACATCAGCACTCATAGAAACCATTTGAGCTAATAGACCAGATGATGTTGTACTTCCTGGCATTCTTGCATTGAGCACTCCTGATCCAGACAACACGCCAGATGCTGTTTGTGACGCTGCTCCAGATGTTGAAGTTCCCTCATTGGAAGCTGTTGGGCCATACTTCATACTTGGAGCCCTATTTGAAGCTTTCATATTAGAATCAAGGTTACCATTCTCTCTTCCCTGTCTAGAGACCTCTGCACGAAATTGAAAGAGCAATTAGTGAACAAAGAAAGGTTTTACTGTCACAATAAACCCCTTCACTCTAGGTATACACAGTATTTAATAGTGTATATCACACCAAGCTCTGCACAGTTAATGCAAGGTGCCCAATGGATAGAGGAGGGTGAGCAGGGCAGTGACAACTGATCTTGCCCTGATTGTCTTGGTTAGAATTACTGTAACTCTGGCGGTCCTCCCATTCCTCATTATGGTTACTTTTGTGTTTTAACTATCATGCTCGTTCATTTTTGCTATCTGTATTCCCTCTTTGTAATTCATTAATGATAATGACAACCAGGGTAGGTACAAAGTTGCAGTAGAACCAGCTTGTCCCAAAACTGTTCACTACTGAGCATCACCAGCTACGGTAACATCTGGAAGCTAGATGGTGTCTTGTGGATTGTAGTCTCTGGATTTTGCAAATGATGCGAGGTAACCAAAAGGAAAATAAATAGAGGTAAAGCGTTAAAAAAAACCGACAACAAACAAGATTCTACCAAACATTCAGGAAACCTTGAGGGTCCTATAGCATATGGCGCCACCACCTCCCTCTTACGATCTCATCCATAAACCCCGTGAACCCAAACACTAACCCCATTACCCACCAACCAACGGATGTTTTTTGGGTAAAAAATTAACGGGCATTGGGGAGAGCTAGGAGCAGACAAGTAGCAAAGTCACGAGGTAGGAGCGAAAGGCAAAGTAGGTAGCGGAGCCGCATGATAAGGATATTTCCAAAAAAAAAGATTGATGGAAAAGGAAAGAGAGAATGTACAAAAAGTGTGTCATCTCATAGTAAAACTATTGGGATGGGGAAATTTTTGAGAAGAGAAAACTCAGAGATGAATAATAATCTGTACACGTGATGGGAACATAGCAGAATGCAGACTGATTACTAGTATTCTATGAACTAAAATAAAGAACTGGAATTAAGTAGCGTACCAGCAAATTCTGCCATTAGCAAGTCAAGTTCACCATTTGTTTTCCTCTCTACTGAAGCATGTAACAGTGGCAAAATACTTTCATGCCTTTCTAGTCCAGACATGTGACGGGCATAATCAAGCTGTCCAGATACATGACGAGAGGGAGGTTCTTTCTCCAATAAACTCAGTAGAGGCCGGATTTGATCATTCTGACCACTACTATGTCCATTTGATACTAATTCTATATGCTTGGGAGATCTGTCTGTTGATGACCTTCCTCCAGAAACACTAAGCCGCTGTGGCCTTACCAGGTCATTATCGTTTCTCTCCATGTGACCAGCAGCAGATATATCATTGAACCTGGGAGATGCTGAAGGATCCAATAAGATATGGTGCTTATCAGCATCTGCTTGTAATGACTGCATGGAGCCAGATGAATGGTAATGATCCAGCCTTACTTTAGAACTTTCTAGCATCGGCACATCTAGCTGACCAGATTTTAGACGGGGGGTGGAACCATTCTGTGTTACTGAAGCACCTGACCCTGAGATGGAAGCAAATCGTGTTGCTTCATTCAAGCTATGAAGAGTATTAACTAGCCTGAGAAGTATCCCATTCTTTGCTGCTATACGACAGAAGTCATTTCTCGGCGTTGAATGCTGAAGCTTGAAGACCTGCCAGATGCCATCAATTGCAAGATGAACCATTTCCCTGCTAATTTACAATAAACTTATCAGAAACAAGCATCTAGTAATACATAGGAATAGGATATACCGGAAAAATCTAAAGGAATTGTTTAAGACAAAAATGTACAAACTTACCTAAATTTTGCATAGTCAGGCTCCAAAAAACTCACCAAAACAGGTATACCTTGACATGCAATGAACATTTGCAACGTCAAGGTGCTGGAGACGGAAAACTGATAATTAGCGCCACGGCTTGCGTTTAAATACAGTTAGACACCATGAACCATGACAGAAAATAAACCTGGCCTGGCAAAGCTGCTGCAGAAAAAAGGATGCTTGCATCCGGACTTCCTTTGCACGATCTGGCACGGCAAAATTCATCACCACTGGTATCTGCAAACAAATTTTACAGTATCAATTATCCATTCCACGTTGTCAATAGAATTTAGAGATCATGAATTGTTATTGAAGTGGAACCGAAGCCTCACAAGGCCAACAAGACAGGCATTTTCCAGGAAGCCTGTATTATCTTTTACAATGTAGTTGATGAGTTGCAGAACAGAACATATAATCTGCAGAAAATAAACAGACAACTTCTCAGTGTAAAGACCAGCAAAAAAAACTTCATGAAAGTAAAGTAAAAATTCATACACGGTTTTTTGGAAGTTCAAGAAGTTCCATCAACGGAAGGAAACCATTCTGTGACACATAAATCTGTTTTTGCTCAGGCCGGTGACTGAAGAATAACATAAGCTTTTGGCATGCTGACAGTATTACTTCTTCACTTTCCCCGGGCTTCAGCTGTGCTACTATTTTGCTGTATTCCACAGACTGTAAATATAAGCAACAAAAGTACTTCATGGTCAGGACAGAATAATAATTACAAATGAATCATAACAACGTGATAAAAAGTACTGTGACATTGCAATTTAAAGTTAAAATAACTTGAAAATCAACATTTCTAAATAAAGGACATCTAATGTGGCATGTGAATTTGCAACCGAGCAGTTGATAACAGCCAAGGAGCAATATAAACTAATGCTACCTCTCAAATACTCCCTCCGTTCCGAAATAGATGACTCAACTTTGTACTAACTTTAGTACAAAGTTGAGTCATCTATTTTGGAACGGAGGGAGTACTACTGAAGCTGGACGCTTTACCAACATGTAATATTTACAAAATAGAATGGTTTAACAGGACTGTTGCCACACAATTAAAATGCTCAAAATGAATAAATACAGGTATATGTTGCCAAAAATATCACAACTCTAGCAAATGGCAGACCTGTAAAGGGAAAAGATTCTCTCCTGGAATGTTGTCATGAAATTCCTGTAAAAAGTATTTAGTGATAATATTGTCAGGGCTGCAGTCATCGGAATTTCATCTATTTTTCTACATTGTCAAGGAAGGGAAAGTAGAACACATAGTGGGGAGAGCAATACCTCAAATAATTCAAGAAGTTTTCCGCCATTCATGGGCACATTGTCATTTCCCTTCTGCTTCTGTGACACCATCCTATCCCTGAGCTCTTGAGCGGTAGTGGATGTTGAAGCTTCACCCCCATGATCTCCTCGCTTGTCAATTGGGAATAAATCCTCCAAGGAGGCATCTCCAGGTGTATCACTGAATCTACTCAGTCCATTAGCTCCCTCGGCAACTAAAGGTTTTGCCTCCTGTGAAGACATGATATACATGAATACCATAAAGAATAGGTATCTGCATTCTTGACCAAGAAAGCATAAGATTTTTTTCTGTGTGCAAGGACAATTGCTGTACGGAAAGTTCTCACCTGTAGAAAGGTGGCATTCTGTCTCCCAGCCTGGAAGGAGAAAGCATCATCATCCTCAAAACTCGAAGGGTCTTTACTTTCAGGCTCTAAATTTTTGCTGGCACCGTTTTTTGATTCTTGGCTGCTCCTAGCTACCTTAGTTGGCAGAACATCTTGCGAAGGTTCATGTTTTATCTTGCCATTTAAATCGGTAGCTCCAGGAGAAGATTCCAATGATAGCTTTTCATGGAAAACTAATGTAGGATCTTTAGTGAGAACCACATTATCTTTCATGAGTTCCACATTGTTTGAAATATTGCTTTCTGCAGGTTTTCCATCATGAAGCTCGTCAGATTTACCTTGTCCCGCAGATACAGAAACCAGTTCTTTTGTTCCATCCTCCTAGGGCCAGATTATAGTTACAGATAAATAAAAGTTTAATATACTGAGATCATCATAATCTTGTGGGTCCAGCACAAGAATTTGAACTGATTCGATTCAATGAAATGAACATGGGAAAAAACCCTGAAAAGCTTACCTGTTCAATGTCAGAAGCAACAGGTGCTTGTGTATCTCCTGATGGACCAGAAAACTCAGCGTGATTATCACTACTTGGGACTTCATCATCCATGTCAATATGCCTTATTATACAAACAAATTATAAACTCCTTTAGTAGCCTATCAATCAAAGTCACTTTCGGGAGACAGTTAAAGCAATGTTGGCAGCTGTTCTGTGGACAATTAATCTGTCGAGATTTACAGATTATAAAAATTATACATTTGCAGGATTTAATCACCGCATGAGCATGAGAAAATCCACGAAAAGGAACAAAAATCAGAATATGAGCATGGAACACACATATTAAGTATGCATTGAGAGTGCAAAGCATGCTTGTTGGAAAGAAAATAAAAGTTAAAAAGGCACAAGCTGTGTATGCTTCTTAGCAAATCACCAGCTTTGAACAGATATAGACAAAAACAAAATAGAATATTCATATATTGAAGGCAGAGAATTTTACTATATGATGTTTCAATCATATCAGTTCAGGCACTAAAAGAACAGAAGCAAACATCTCTTGTGGGGAAGTTGCATCCAAAACAAAGTCAAATAGTCCTGCAAGTTAACCTCTGGGAATTTCATCACATCCCAGTCACTAAACACATAATAACACAACTACCATGAAATATTTTTCATGAATGTAGTGATGCTTGAAAATTGACAAGTACAGGTTAAGTCTGAAGACCAACTAAATTGAGTGACCGAAAAAGGTCAAACTCTGGGGCTATCAGGTGATTTCACAATGTTTTAGTTTTCTAGCGAGTATTTGTTGATTCATCTACTATTTACTGTCATGAATAACAATAGAAAGAATGATCTCATAAATCTGAACTACCTCGGATTAGTCTGCCGGGGAGATGACGAGGCCCGTCTCGAGTTCTGCAACCATGGGTGCATCAACAATGTCTTTGCATCAGGCCGTTGTATTGAATCCTACAAGTGCTTCTTGAAGTCAGAATAGCAAAGAATTATAGGAAGAATAAAACGAGTCTTCTAAAAGTAGAAAGGACAAATAACAAGGAACCTTTTGAAAACATTGCCGGAGAAAATCAGTAATCTCAGGAGAGAATCCTTCTGGTATTGGTGGTTGCACATCCTGCATTACATGGGTACAAGAAATTTTATGTAATGTGCAAATGAACAGTACTGTTGGAGATGTGGGAAGAGAGGTGAAACATTTGCAGGTAATCAACCTGAACAATGCGAAACAGTGCAGGCATGGGCTGCAGTTCATAATATGGTGGGGAACAAGTGAGTAACTCAATAACTGTGCAACCAACACTCCAGATATCTGACGCGGCACAAACACCAGACATTTCAATAACCTAATGCAAACAAGAAATGATGAAGGTAAGTCAAAATATCATGATAATACAATATACTCCCTCCGTCCCAAAATGTAAGACCAACTGTCAAAAATGATCTTACATTTTGGGACAGAGGGAGTAATATTTTGATAGCAAAAAATTCAAGTCTATTAGAACATCAATCCAAAGTTATAAATGTTATGTACTAGCATCTTGAGAGAGTAAATACTGTCAAAAGTTTGCAGATTCGATTAATTTTGGCTGCTAAAATTGCTGTGATGCTATCATATCAGCGGTATGGATTATCAGTTACAATATTCCGGATGCTAACAGTACTATGTGAAATTTAGGATTTTTACCACCTAAATTGTCCTGGAGCAGGTCTGCTGGTCGGTGGATAGAGTTCTATTTTCCCATCACACGTTTACTGGTTCTATTGGCATGTAGTGTCAAAATTGTCCCCATCGTGTATCTTTTTGGAAATGTATGCCACACAAGTCATCAGCCACACTGGCATAATTAAGTTCCTTGACCTTGTAAGTCTACGTTCAAGAAAACGCTTCCAAAACAAAGAAAAATGATGAATAGAAAATTTATACGGATACTTCTCTGGGCAAATGGTATTTTTTTCCCGTAAGCGATAATACAGGCTGATGAACTGATATTAAAATGATGATTGTATTATTTGTAGCAATGCTTCAAATTTGATGTTCAGTGAGTCGGAGAGTCCAATGGAACAGGTTACAGAACAACGCCTTTAAGACAATTAAAAGTAAAAGACAAACAAGAGGAAGTTGAGAAATTAATCCAGTATGTCAGTGCACCTAACAAATAATTCAGCAGGAACAAAAAAAATGGAAAGAATTAGCAACCTCGGGGGCCATCCAGTATGGGGTTCCAACAACTGAGTGTGTGTTGACATCGGCTTCAGTTAATTTAGTAGCAACTCCAAAATCAGCAAGTTTAACAAGGCCCTAAACAAGATAACAAAGAAAAATGAGAGCATGTGCAGGAAGAAGTGTAACATGATTCCAGAAAAATCAAACTTCTAATGCCCTTGGTCGTGTGTCATAGTAAGTGTGGAATTCAAGTTTAGCCATGGGCTACATGAACCATATTAAATATTCTCATATGAAATATTAGTAGCTAACTAGCTACCCACTCCATTTCACAACATAGTATTATATCTAGTGAGAAAATATGGTTCAATTACAGGAAATATATTACTCAAGTTTGGGCATTCTAGGTATGTGTGTAAAATACTCTCCACATCAAGAAAACAATGTTATAGATTCACAATATACTGAAACGTAGCCTGACAAATGTTGAATTTGTCCTCTTTTACTATCCAAAGCATCAAGAGCAGACAATTGTATCAACTACCATTAATGATTGTACATTTGAGGTTCTCTCTTCCAGAAAAAACTGCCAGGTTGCCCATGTCAGCCATTATACTTTCCTGTGTGTCTATTTATTTACTTATTAACAGAAAGCTCATTCACAAGATAAATTTTGAACATGATATTCAGAATAGCCTTTTCAACACTGTTATAAGACCCATCTTACTTCTCTAAATTCTCATTATTAGAAATCAAAAGTCAAAACAAAGAAGAACCATGTGCAAATATGCAAGTGATAAGAGCCATTTACCTCTTTAGTTGTCAATATATTTGCACCCTTGATATCTCTATGTATGACACCTTGCTCATGCAGATAGACAAGGCCCTCCAACACCTGGTCACAATAGTAAAAGTTGGAAACAGACATAGCAAGAAAATGGGAAGTCCCAGTAATCACTAATATAATATATTTCACCTGAGCAATGTAGACGGCTGCTAATGATTCAGGAAATGGTCCAAATTTGTTTGGCTTGATAATATTGGCTAGTGAACCATTCTCCACATATCTGCAGTTATTATACAGCTATCAGAACTTCCATGCTAACATGCGATGCATGTACTTCGTACCAAGACATCACAGTGAGGACACAGGATTTCTTACTCCAGAATGATATGAAGATGGCTATTTGTCTTCAATGATCCAAGATACTTCACAATATTTTTGTGATTGAGATTCTGCATAAATTAGCACAACCTTGAGTCAAAAGCAACATGATCATGTGCATCCAGAATAGGAGAGGTGAATTAGATGTTCAAAAGTAAAGGTCCTTCTAATTATGGGTACGATAATAATGATTAAAAAAGGCATAGTATCTATATTAAAAAAGAAGATTCTTCATAGACTTATGATCATCCATACTATTGAAATGTTCACATAAACCACTGAGTGTACAAAAATAAGCACACTCTTTTTTTTTAAAGTCAACTGAGGGGAGGATGCCCCTCAGGATTCTTAATTATAAAAATTTGCCACACAGGACTATAAATATGCAAAATGATAACAAAAAACTTACATAAATAGGAAATCTGGAGAAAATGCAACACAGACAAGGAAAATATGGGTTTAATTGTTTTACTAAATCCAGATGCAGTAAGTACATAAAGAAAATGCTGTGAGACTTACTTTCAGTAGATCAATTTCTTGCTGAATCGGCCACACCACCCACGAGAACAGTTATTAAACCGTACACAAAAGATAATTAGTTAGAACCCCATATTACAATGATACAAAACACAATGTAGAAAATGACGATATTCCAACAAAAGCGTTCGAATGTTGAAAATCTGAATAAAGGGACAAACAAATCTGATGAGTTGATACAAAACATGGCATCATGTTGATACAACAAGAATCAAGAATGTGAAACATAGAACTTTTGGGAACCCGGTGTTCCAAATAGCGGTAAGCAGTTAACTAGCGGTCACCCCACCACGCAGCAATAGTGTAGTATATGACTCTCTAGACAGCATTGAGTGCAGTTAAATAAATTTTTAACAAAGAGATGGTCTGAATAGTGTGTACAATGGCATGCATTACAAGCTACTCCCTCTTGGTGATCTAAACGGTCTTATATTAGTTTGCAGAGGGTAGTGATCTAAACGGTCTTATATTAGTTTGCAGAGGGAGTAGACAACACGGCTCCATCCCTTAACACGCTCCTAGATAGCATTCAGGACGAGGCCCGCTCATGGGCGGCAGCTGGGGCACCTGGTCTCCGACTTGTGCTGCCCCAAACCTGGGATGTGCATTAATCCACCTGCTGTAATCCACACATCCTCAGATGTCTGTAACTGAACCTCCCCCTTTTCAATGAAAAGAAACGCAAGGCTTTTGCGTTTTCTCGAAAAAAAACATTTAAAGACTCGTTTCACTATAAGAGTACCAAACTAACAAACAGTATATAATGCAGTGCTATGAAAACAAAATATATTATTTGAGTGACTGAGGCTTCCAAGATGTAAGCACCAACATCAACTCCATGCACTAAACCTATATGTGCACCAAGTAACAAAAGGAAAGGATAGAGTGCACCATTAGTGTCATTCCACATTTCCAATTTCACAAAAGTGTAACACTAACAGCTTAATGTTCTAAAATTTAATCTTGGGGATAACTAAGAATGGTATATTGCTACATAAATTATATAAACTATTCATCTTTTCGACCCTAACACTTATATAGCCTTCAACAGCTGGGCTACATACTGGCCCAGAATAAAAATATTAATGCAACTAACTATTTTTCAATTTAGATTTTCCAGCCCCTAAACCCAGACACACACAAAAATTATAAGGATTCAAGAGCTCCTATGGTTTACAAGGATGCGCACAAGCATAAATACTTTGTAACAGTTAAGAAATTAAATGTTATTCCAATGAACAATTTAAAGGAATCTACCGATATCATATCCAGAGTTCGCCGGGGGAGGGGGGGGTCGCATGCATTTTCTGTGGAATCACACCAATCACATAAAACCTAGCGCGGCAGCTGCTGGCGGCACTTGATCACGTCAGCTCTCATGTTTCTTCCCCAGTTTTATGTGTCAAAAAGAGAGCTCACGAGCTCCACATGACGACCACACCCGACAACATACCACATAATTAAATCATGATGTCCAAGTATATTGCCCTAGTATGTGTGATAATTATTACAAGTCCCGACAAGTTAAATAGGAAGCTCGCCAAGGACTCCGATAAGCTAGCATAGCGGTGCCCTAGGATTTAGTTCCATGTCACGCTACCGAACAAAGCAGCGAAACCGACAACAAGCTGCATTACTCTAGCTTCCAGTCTCGTCTTAGCACTGTTCTCGGTCGATGACGTACGTTTCTCATCTCCTGAGAACCGCATTTCATGCAATTACACGCATTTTGCCACTCGGAACGCGATATACATCATATAACACGCCCAAAAAAAAACTCTCACCATGATAATATTGAGATCCTCCTGCGGGATGTTCTCCAGCGAGACCTGCTTGATGGCCACGAAGTCGCCATTTTCCAGGTCAAGCCCCTTGTAGACGCGCCCGTACGCGCCCTTCCCTATCTCGTCCCCCAGCATCTGCAACCCGCCCACACAGACACACACAAACACAGACACACAGTGAGTGAGAGAACCATTCCTCAAGCAATTCGCTGGCGCAAAACACCAATTCCACCGGATCCGAGGCGGGCGGGGAGCGCGGGAGGCCTCACGTATTTGTTGCCGAGCGTCTTGGATTTCGGGTTGTGCTGCCGGGACGCCATCTCGTCCCTCCTCCTCGGAGATTCGGCCCCTCCGCGGCCCGGGGCGCCGCCGGCTGCGGCGGGGACGGGCGGATCGGCGGTCACCGGCGACGAGGATTCCCGTCCGGCGAGCTCGCGGCGAGGGCCATTTAGGTTTAGGGTTTGGGTGCGAATGGAATTGG